CAATGGTAGCAGATGACAGAACGAGGAGGAATGGTCTCAAGTTGCAGTGGGGGAGGTTTAGATTGGATATTAGGAAAAACTTTTTCACTAAGAGGGTGGTGAAACACTGGAATGCGTTACCTAGGGAGGTGGTAGAATCTCCTTCCTTAGAGGTTTTTAAGGTCAGGCTTGACAAAGCCCTGGCTGGGATGATTTAACTGGGAATTGGTCCTGCTTCGAGCAGGGGGTTGGACTAGATGACCTTCAGGGGTCCCTTCCAACCCTGATATTCTAAGCCCTGAGCCTCAATGCCCCACAGCAGGGCTGGAGCCGCGAGCACTGGCTCCCTGCACCGCAGGGGGGGAAGCCCTGAGTCTTGGTGCCACTTCCGTGGGGCTGGAGCCTTGCGCGCCGGCTCACCCCACTGGAGGGGAAGCCCCGCCTCTGCGCCCCCCCTGAGCAGGTGAGTTGAACAGGTGTGTGGCCGCCATTGATTTTTTTTGGTGCGTCAGTGGCTCCTGATACATAAAAGGTTGCCCACCCTTACAGTAAAAGAAAAGAAATTGGTTTTGAACTCTCTGTAAGGAAACTGTTCCCCGACAGGTAATGGGCTGAAGGACCAACTTAAATTTCTGGTATAAGCTCACTGAAGTCAGAGCCACCCCACTTGTGAATTCAGCCCCCACAACTTCCCTACAACTGGTCAAGGAAGTGCTGCTTATTGCCTGTCTTGTTGGTGTTCTCTAGAAAATTTGCTTCAAGCAGAATAGGCCACAAATGGAGGGGGAAACCTTTACACCCAGTGCCCAAGAGAAATATCAGACCACCGTGTGTGTGGTCAAAAGAGAAATCCCATTTCAAGGGAACAGGACAAGCCCTATTAGGGTCCAAGGCCCTTGGATCCTACAAGGCTCACTCAGTTAAGATTTCTGAAGATCTTCATTATTTTCATTCCCTTTTACAGCAAAACTTCTAGAACAGAGTTTTCACAGCCCTGGTGAAGGATGTGAAGAATGCAGTTAATATTTAACATCTTTTATACTTTATGTTCTCTTTGCTGTACCTTACAATGAATGCACATTGTGTTTCAACTAATCTGAATGCGTCTTCCTTGCTATATTAATGCATAAACATTACCTAAGGTCTAAAGCACTTGGAAGCTGTATTGATGCTAAGCACTATGATATCTGAGGTCTGCTATCATTCCTAAAGAGTGTCTTGATCAGTCCTAATGTTGCTGTGCAACCCAAGGGCACCAGTCAGGATCAGAGACCAAACCTCCGGGACACTGCTTTAAGAAACAGAGGAAGATGTGGTCTATGCCCCTAAAGAGACCCAGGCAATGAGTGGGAAAAGGTATCAAGCAGCAGCAGAGAGGCCAGACAGCCTGTTATCTCTGTTTGACTCTGGGGAGAGCTAGGGGAAGGGGACAACAGGAGGTGGTGAGTAAACAGGAGCAACGGAGTGGGGGGAGGGAGAGAAGGAAGGAAGAAGAGACTTTGTGGGGCATGAATCGGGATGGGAAAGGGAGGACAGGGGATGAGGCTGGCAGCACAGGGACTGTGAGGTCGAAGGTCCGGGCAAGCTACCAGTCAGCAGATATAAAACAACATCCAGACAGCAAATTGCAAGCAGCAGCCTGCTGCCATCACGGGTGTCTGTGGCTGCGAAGGAGGAAGGACCTGGATGGGAAAGACCTGCCTGCTGTCAGTCCCTGACAGAGAAACCCATTTTCCTTTGCCTCTCCTGAGGAAGTGCTGATACAAAGTCTTGGGCTCTGCAGCATTTCTCTGCCCCTTGCCAGCTCCATAACTGGACGTGTACACTTCATTGCCAAATGGGCTTTCGAGGAGGCGTGAGAATCACTTCTGCTCTAGTTACCAGGCAGGAACTGGGGTCTCTGGTAACATGCTCAGCACCCCTATGGCGTGGGAGCATGGACCGCTGCATTCCTTCATTCCGCGCTTTGTTGAAGAGCGGGGACAGGCCCAGGCAGAGGGGAAGATATCACTAGTATACAGCATGGCACGCTGGGGCTGACATGCCTTGGGTGCACTGGCGGTATGAGGCTGTGGGAAGAGCCAGTTCATTCACACATTGAAGAAAGCGACACTGGCTGTCTGCAGCATTTCCAGTCTTGTTTGTACTCAACGGTGTGAGATCCACAAGGCCAAACCCTAACAGTGCTCACAACGAAGTCCTGCTTTCCCACTGAGTCCTGTCCTGTGCACTAGCTTCCTGGAAGAGACCGATGCTCTACACAAAACATCACATGAGCAGCACCACAGAGATCTGGGTGCCAGGGCAAAAAGACTAGAGGGAAATGTTCTGTTAGACCTATAAGAGCAATAATGGCCAGGAAATACCCTCACTGTTAGCCATTATTGCATACATTGTACTGAACACTCTGGAGTGTCACCACAGGACTTGTTCAGCTGACACCCTAAGAGTTGTGAGCCTAAACTGAAAGGCAGCTCTCAGAACCGAGGCTGCACCTTGCTGAACACGGGCGTTAATCTATAAAAGGAGTACTAGTGACACCTTAGAGACTAAACAATTTATTTGAGCATAAGCTTTCGTGAGCTACAGCTCACTTCATCGGATGCATTCAGTGGAAAATACAGTGGGGAGATTTATATACACACAGAACATGAAAAAATGGGTATCATGCACACTGGAAGGAGAGTGATCACTTAAGATGAGCTATTACCTGCAGGAGAGCGGGGGGGGGGGAGGAGGAGGAACGGGGGACCTTTTGTAGTGATAATCAAGGTGGGCCATTTCCAGCAGTTAACAGGAACCTCCGAGGAACAGTAGGGGTGGGGGAAATAGTTTTACTTTGTGTAATGACACATCCACTCCCAGTCTCTATTCAAGCCTAAGTTAATTGTATCCAGTTTGCAAATTAATTCCAATTCAGCAGTCTCTCGTTGGAAACTGTTTTTGAAGTCTTTTTGTTCTAATATTGCGACCTTTAGGTCTGAAATTGAGTGACCAGAGAGATTGAAGTGTTCTCCGACTGGTTTATGAATGTTATAATTCTTGACATCTGATTTGTGTCCATTTATTCTTTTACGTAGAGACTGTCCAGTTTGACCAATGTACATGGCAGAGGGGCATTGCTGGCACAGGATGGCATATATCACATTGGTAAATGTGCAGGTGAACGAGCCTCTGATAGTGTGGCTGTGTGATTAAGCCCTATGATGGTGTCCCCTGAATAGATATGTGGACACAGTTGGCAATGGGCTTTGTTGCAAGGATAGGTTCCTGGGTTAGTGGTTCTGTTGTGTGGAGTGTGGTTGCTGGTGAGTATTTGCTTCAGGTTGGGGGGGCTGTCTGTAAGCAAGGACTGGCCTGTCTCCCAAGATTTGTGAGTCTTATGGGTCGTCCTTCAGAATAGGTTGTAGATCCTTGATGATGCGTTGGAGAGGTTTTAGTTGGGGGCTGAAGGTGATGGCTAGTGGCGTTCTGTTATTATCTTTGTTGGGCCTGTCCTGTAGTAGGTGACTTCTGGGTACTCTTCTGGCTCTGTCAATTTGTTTCACTACACAAAGTAAAACTATTTCCCCATGTTTACTTCCTCCACCCCCCCACTGCTCCTCGGCCGTTCCTGTTAACTGCTGGAAATGGCCCTCCTTGATTATCACTACAAAAGCTTTTCTCCCCCCCGCTCTCCTGCTGGTAATAGCTCATCTTAAGTGATCACTCTCCTTACAGTGTGTATGATACCGATTTTTTCATGTTCTGTGTGTATATAAATCTCCTCACTGTATTTTCCACTGAATGCATCCGATGAAGTGAGCTGTAGCTCACAAAAGCTTATGCTCAAATAAATTGGTTAGTCTCTAAAGTGCCACAAGTACTCCTTTTCTTTTTGTGAATACAGACTAACACGGCTGCTACTCTGAAACCTATCTATATAACTGCACATCTATTGAGGACTGCAGGGGGAGTATTTAACCTTATTATTGCTGCACATGGAGAATGCCCGAAGTCCAGCCACACTCCCTGCAATCTCAGGATAGAGTGGAATACAACCCACTGGCCCTACCCACGCATGAAGGAAAATTCCTTCCTGACCTGCATGTTTGAAGCATTATAGACGAACAGCATATTCAACGAGCAAGCAGAAAATTTTGGCTCATGTAGGATGCCCACAAAGTTTGGACTCCTTGTCAATCATTGAGACAGCCATCTTCTTATAATCTCACAACTACTTTTCACTGTCTCTGGCGCAGTTAAGTGCAACGCCATGTGGAAGCTCCTGATTTGAGAGCAGCTTGACACATTTCAGGCTGGTAGAGCCAAGAAGTGACTATCAAACCCTAGAGAGCGGAGCTCAGCACATCTTCGCAGTAGCATTGCCTATGGCTGGTTACAGAGGGTGTGTGCAGGGCTTGCCAAACGTTAGCGGAGCTGTAATGAGTACATAGGTGATGGCAGATAAGGGGACCTAAAAACGAAGGAACAATTGAGCATTTCTGACATTTCTGAGCATTTCCGTGTTAGTCTGTATTCTCAATCTCTAATCGCTACCTTGGAAAGGGAAAGACCCTTTGCTGCAGTATTCGGATGGGAGCAAGGGGAGTTTAGAAGCAGTAACACCAAACAAGCAAGTGTGCTTTCTGTTAACAAGGTTTGAGATGCTAAAGCGCATTATCATACGCTGAGCCTCAAGTGAACACTACATAGTGCTCCCTGCAGACAAGGCTGCTCTTAGGAGACAGCCATTTAAGGTGTAATAAAGTAGGAATTCATGCTGCAGTTCCAGGAGAGGTAACTATTCTTAATGAGGATCTTGTGAGCGACCACACATCTGGCGATGAGACTGTGCAGTCTCATAAAAGGGAGCACCCTCATCCCAATGCAACAGAGGCAGACGGGAAACATATATCATTCAGGAATATGTGCTACCCCTTTAACATGGCATTAAACAGAAGACATCACACATCCCAGTTACTGTCCCCCTCCCTTTCACTTGCAACCCTAGTTAAAATACTGAAAATAGTTGTACTTACAGGGAGGTCTGTAAAGGCTATACCTGTGGGGGGAAAAAATATTAGAATTAAAAAGACAAAGGATTTTTCCCCACATGCGCCTACAGACTTAACATGCTACAAAACGTTACTACATTTCAGTAAATCTCAGCTCTGGCCCTGGACTTAGCGACCTGTTATTTAACAAAAAGAAAAGGAGAACTTGTGACACCTTAGAGACTAACAAATTTATTTGAGCATAAGCTTTCGTGAGCTACAGCTCACTTCATCATTTATTTAACAGAGTCTCCCCTTCTCCCTCTACCTGGACCCTGTGGTTTGGCAAAGATTCAGATCAGAGTCTGAGTGTTCTCAGACTCTCTTTCCCATCAGTTTTAGTGCATTAAGCTTCACAAAAGCAGCCCCCTTTTCCTTTGCTTCTCCCTCACATCACTGCAGGACTCCACTAAGAAGCCACTGGGTAAAGCTTCAGTTCAAGACAAATTTTTGATTTGGAAGCTGTGGTGCTTTAATATTGCTGTGGTCTGGCCTGAGGCTACCCCTCCTTTCCAGCCAGAGCTGTGGAGTTGAGCATTAAACTCCCTGTACAATTCCCAGGGGAATTGCTGGGCCTTGCACTAAGGCAGGGCTGCAGTCAGAAGCAGTTTCTCAGATATGCAGCAATGGAGATAACGGTAGTGCTCAGCTTCCTCCTCCACATTCGTAGATTCCAAGGCCAGAAGGGACCATGATTATCTAGTCTTACCTCCTATATAACACAGGTCAGAGACCTGCCCCAACATAATTCCCAGAGCAGATCTTTTAGAAAAACATCCATCTTGATTTAAAAATTGTCACTGATGGATACTCCACCACAACCCTTAGTAAGCTGTTCCAATGGTTAATTACTCTCACCTGTTAAAAGTGTACATCTTATTTCCAGTCTGAATTTGTCTAGCTTCAACTACGAGCCACTGAATAGTGTTAGACTTTTCTCTGCTAGACTGAAGAGCCCATTATTGTTACCCAAGTAGGTACCTACAGATTGTGATCAAGTCACCCCTTAACCTTCTCTTTGTTAAACTAAATAGATTGAGCTCCTTATGTCTATCACGATAAGGCAGGTTTGCTAATCCTTTAATCATTCTCATGGCTCTTCTCTGAACCCCCTCCAATATATCACCATCCTTCTTGAATTGCGGACAACAGAACTGGACACAGGATTCCAGCAGCAGTCGCACCAGTGTCAAATACAGAGGTAAAATAACCTCTCTACTTCAAATCTGATATTTGCAAATATAACAGAAGTGAAAAGATTTATGGGTTCTCTCTTAATTTCAATCTGACAAGTCAGAAAAGAGGCAAAAATTACATATAAACAAAGGTTTCAGAGGAACAGCCGTGTTAGTCTGTATTCGCAAAAAGAAAAGGAGTACTTGTGGCACTTTAGAGTCTCTAAGGTGCCACAAGTACTCCTTTTCTTTATATAAACAACGGTTTCTTATATTTGCTAAAGCAGGGATGAAAAGATTATTCAGCCACAGGTTCTGAACAGTACCAAAAGCTCCAAGTCAAGTTATGTGGGGAGCAGAACATGTAAAAGGTGTTTCCAGAAGCAGGAGGGCTGACAGGGTAACCACTTCTCCCAGAGTAGAGAGCACAGCGGTGCTGACTGGTGACCATGAGGCATCTGCACTGCATATTAGCTACTTCCAGGCTCCAACAGAAGACACAGACTATTTACATACAGCAGCAACTCAAGTCCTCTCTCTCTCCATGAACACGTGCCAGTACTTAGACTTGAAGGACACCAACAGCACCTGGGAGAAGGGCTGGTTTCCACCTAACTGCTTGCCTCCACATGGAGCATGTTGGGCAGTGACACAATGCATGGACACTCTTCCCCAATCACCACTCACAAAACTCCAGGAGTAAAACAACCCCTCACAAGCCTACTCATTGCCGGATACCCCCCCGTCTATCTCCTAGGCTCTCTGGCCCCAAACTCTCGAGAAGGAGCGTGTATGCCTCTCTGTGCTGCCACTCCACCATCACCCACAGAGCTCCTTCACTCCTCACAGGAGCAACCCCAGCCACCTTGGCTGCAATACCAAGTGCTAGGCTGCGTCTCAGACTTAGGCCTGGCCTACAGTACGCGGTTATTTCGGAAGTAGCCGAGTTACCTCAAAATAAAACTGGTTCTGTCCACACGACCAAACCAGTCTCTTCAATTTAAAGGGCTCTTTACCCTGATTTCTGTACTCCCCCTCGGCAAGTGGAGTCACGCTAAAATCGAGATCGCAGTTCTGGGTTACAGGTAATATTGGCCTCCGGGAGCTACCCCAGAATACTCCCTTGTGACCGCTCTGGAGAACACTCTGAAGTCCAATGCACTAGCCAGGCATGCAGTAAAAGCCCTGGGAACTTTTGAATTTCCTGTCTGGTCATCATTAGCACAGATGACGCCATCAGCACAGTACACCAGCACAGGCGACCACGCAGAGTCCACCATCACAGGCGACCGTGCAGTCCCGGATTCGCAGACGAGCTCCAGCATGGTCCGAACGGGAGGTACTGGATCTCATTGCATGTTGGGGAGATGAATCTGTTACAGCAGAACGATGTTCCAAAAAAAGAAACACAAATACATACGCTAAAGTCTCCAGGGCTATGATGGAAAGAGGCTACTCCAGGGACACAGAACAGTGTTGTACAAAAATCAAGGCGCTCAGGCAAGCGTACCAAAAAGCCAGGGAGGCAAACGGGCACTCTGGGTCACAGCCCCATACATGCCGCTTCTACGGTGAGCTGCATGCAATTATGGGGGGGTGACAACACCACTACCCCACCACTGTTTGTGGACACCTGCAAGGAGGAAGTAGCATGGAGCGAGGAGGATGAGTTTTTGGAGGAGGAGACTGCATAGGAGGCAAGTGGGGAATCTGTTTTCCCCCCTAGCCAGGAATTATTCTTAAAGTTGGAGCCAATAGCCTCCCCCTACTCCCAAAGCATGCTCCCGGACCATGACCCTGGAGAAGGCACTTCTGGTGAGTGAGAGCTTGATCAGAGACATGCAGTGGGGGGTGGGTGGAAACCCAGCCGCGCTGGGCTATTCACATTTAGTTTAAAGGGCTCATCCCTGCTCAGAGCCTCATCGGAGCCCTGCGGTTTGGGGGGGGGCGGGAAGGGAGATGGATGGATGAGGAGAGGAGGGTGTTGTGTGAAGCTATCATCCCAGAGAGCCCGCAGGCTGCCTGCAAGCTGAATTCTGTTGCCTGGCTGCATGTGATGGCTTACTCACACCAGAGCAGCAGGCACTTCAGTATAAGAGGCAAAATGAGACCTTGTACAGAAAGAGCACATGCTGTGTACTATGAATTGCCTGTTTCACTGAGAAAGTGTCCTCTTTGTTCTCTAAAATACATCTTTTAAAATACTACCCTCACTTTTTCTCCTCCCGCAGCAGGTGCAAATGTTTCAATGCGGCTCCTATCTACTCCGTCCCAGAGGCTGGTCCAGATTAGAAGGTGGAAAAACAAACTCGGGACGACATGTTTGCTGAGCTCATGCAGTCCTCCCGCACTGATAGGGCTCAGTTGTATGCGTGGAGGCGAACAATTGCGGAGTCGCGTAAAGCGTTACATGAATACGAAGAGAGGAGGGACGTGCGCGATGAGAGCAGGCAGGATGCTATGGTCAAGCTCATGGGGGAGCAAACTGACATGCTCCGCTGTATGGTGGATCTAATGCAGGAAAGGCAGCAAGACCACAGACTGCTGCTGCAGCTCCTGAATAACTGCTCTCCCTCGTCCCCAAGTTCCATAGTCTCCTCACCCATGCACCCAAGAACACGAGGGGGGGGGCGAGGGAGGCTACTGGGACCCACACAGTCAACCCCAGAGGATTGCACAAGCAGCAGAAAGCTGGCATATCCTAAATTTTGATTGGGTTTCTGGACTTGTCCTTCCCTCCTCCTCCACACCCCTAACCCAATACCCTCCTTACCCCGTCTAGCTTCTGATTTCTCTCAATGTTTTGTGCAACAAATAATAAAGAACGGTTTTTAAACAATTGTGACTTTATTTCCTTTCATATATATATATATGAAAGGAAATAAAGTCACAATTGTTTAAAAACCATTCTTATATATATATATATATATATGGGGTGGGTAACTTTAAGAGAAACAAACACAACTCTCACACCGTACCCTGGCCAGTCATGAAACTGGCTCTCAAAGTTTCTCTGATATGCAGCGGGCCCTGCTGTGCTCTTCGCCCTGTTGTCTGGCTGTGCGAAACTGGCCAGCAGGCGAGTTGCCTCAACCTCCCAACCCACCACAAACATCTCCCCCTTACTCTCACAGATATTGTGGAGCACACAACAAGCAGCAATTACAATTGGAATATTGGTTGTGCTGAGATCTAACCAAGTCAGTAAACTGCACCAGCGCGCTTTCAAACGTCCAAACGCACATTCTACCACCATTCTGCACTTGCTCAGCCTAAGGTTGAACTGCTCCTTACTGCTGTCCAGGGTACCTGTGTATGGCTTCATGAGCCATGGCATTAAGGGGTAGGCTGGGTCCCCGAGGATAACTATAGGCATTTCAATATCCGCAACAGTAATTTTCTGGTCTGGGAAGTAAGTTCCTTCCTGCAGCTGTTCAAACAGACCACAGTTCCTCAAGATGCAATCGTCATACACCTTTCCTGGCCATCCCACGCTGACATCGGTGAAACGTCTCTTGTGATCCACCAGTGCTTGCAGCACCATGGAAAAGTACTCCTTCCGGTTTATGTACTGGCCACCCCGGTGTTCCGGGGCCAAGATAGGGATACGCGTTCTGTCTATCGCCCCGCCGCAATTAGGCAACCCCAGCGCATTAAAGCCATCCACAATGGTCTGCACATTTCCCAAAGTCACTACCCTTGATAGCAGCTGGTCAATGATTGCACTGGCTACTTGCAGCACAGCAGCCCCCAAAGTAGATTTACCCACTCCAAACTGATTCCCGACTGACCGGTAGCCGTCGGGTGTTGCAAGCTTCCACAGGGCTATTGCC